AAAGCTTATTATAAAAACTTTGTAAAACTTGTTTTATTTAAATATCCAGAATGCGTTTTTGATTTTGGGTCAAAAATATGCTTTTTGGACAAAAGTGGTTTTAAAAAAATTAGCTTAAAAACTTCAAGTCCGTTTGTGGGTAAATTACATCACTGGATACCTTGGTATACTACTAATTCAAATGCGTCCACTCATCTCTCTAATGGCTTTCAAAGTCGCACAGCATGACCTCAAAGTTCACTCTTTTCTATTTTTGCATAATTTATATATCCAAGTTAATTGCGGACTTGTTATTTTTGTTCCACTCGCCGTAATAAACTGTCCGGACGCATTTTGAAGAGGGAACACCTTGTCAATAATGTGTGACAATTTCGAGGCAAATGGCCAAAGCGTCTATCAGCTATTTTAATTTAAAACACAAGAATTCACCAAAAATAGAAGACGAGAAAAAGGCTAATTTGCATATTTGCGCGTTAAACCGGGAATTACTGTTTTGTTATACTTTGTCATACTTTCTAGACTATTGAAATTGAAAGTTAACGTATAGACATAGACATTTTATGTAAAATCGTTGGACCAGAACAACTGCTCTTGAATTTATAAATCAGAAACACGTCATTCATACCAGTGTTTTGATGGGGTCGGTAAAAACACGTGGCAATGCCCAGTAAATATGACGTAATCTCATGAATTATTAAACAGGGGGCGGTCCTAGGAAGGTGACCTTTTATCACGATCAAAACATCATGGCTTCTCTTCGATGTATTTTCAATAAAAAATCTACGAGTATTTCAGTTGTTACCGTAATGTATCAAGTTACCTCTTCTGTGATTTATTTTTCATTGAAATTATTTGGTTATTTTCTATTAATTTTAGCGTACCTCTGCAATTTATTTTAGCATTGTCAGTTGTTTGCTTCATTGAATTAAACGGAGTTCGTCCGGTTGCAAACAAAGCTGTCTCGCACCACCGAGCAAAACTTGCGAATGATCGAAGTACAGGTACCCATTGGACAAAAGATACACAAAAGTTTGTATCTCCCCGACCCAGTGCAATATATCCGGTTAGAATCAAAGCTCACGTGTCCCTTATTTGAGGGACCAGATTCTGCCGTAAATTCGGGATGAGATTTAGAAAAAAAAAGGGACTTTTAAGGTGTATTTTGGCGTCATTTTCGGACATTTCAATCATTTCTGATGCCTAAAATAGAGTCTAAGTTTTACCGTAGTCATTGACGCCTATTCAAGAGTATGATGTTTATTGTGACTAGCGTGAATGGGTAAGCTTCGTTTCGACAATGAGCAGTTATCACTGTAAACAATGTTAAATTATTCTTCACATGCTCAGTTTATTTTTTGAGAACAATTATTTAAAAATAAAATCTCTCAGTCAATCAGAAACTCGGATTCATGCCTTCAGGGAAAGCCATGTTTGGACGCTCACATCGATTTTGTTTTTCGTTCGGTGGGCTGATGCCTTCAGTGTAGCTTTTGCCTCTTCCGACATAGAAATCATCTGAATCTTCTTTCTACCTCTCTTTCTTTTCACACCACGCATAATGTATTGATAAAAATTAAGAAAAAACGCTGAGGAAATATAATGTTTGGTTTGCTAGCGAGCGAGAACTGATTTGAGAATAATTGCACATGCGCGTGAATTGAATGAACTATGACCCGTACAATTTCGATTTGCATATTGTCAATCAAAGGTCCTGTTATTTGGTTACTCATGCAAATTAGGCAATTGGACATAAACATTGCCACGTGTGAGTGTTTTTTTATTTTTAACCAGAAAATAAACAGCAATTTTAACGGTGTTCCAATAAGAATTCATTGGTCAAATTTTCACAGAATGTTCTTTAGATAAAAATCTATAAAAAAAACGAAAAAAACTATTTTTGATTGAAATTCACAAATAAACTGCATCTCTACCTTAAATGCGATTGTACATGTTTTTATATGAAGAATGGAGAGCAATATCTGAAGATGTATAATAACAATATTCAAATTTGTATTTGTGTTAGGCACTGTAATGTTTTCATAACCAACACAGTTTCAAATATTCTTATTCGACTTTTCCTGAAGCACTAGATTCAGATACCCCAAAAACTGGAATCCTATCTGGTGGGCTTGAAACATGTTTGTTATTTTTTAAACTGCACATTCGTTCTGTCCATGCAATCAACGGTAATCGTAATACAATTTAACATAGTCACGTGTTCCATAGTATCCAAAGGTGAACCATGAATGTGATACACACTTACTAGAGCAGTCAGCACCAGTGAATCCCGTATGACAACTACACGTACAATCTATGCTGTTGAAAGTTCCACAGTTCTGACAGTTCCCGTCTAATATACAGTCTTGAAGAAAGTAATATAATTTAATAGACTTATACTTTATATGTACGACTCGGATTTGTGCTGCTGCTTTAAATGTTATAAATGTACTATAAACGATGTATGTGTGTGTTATACGAGATTACACAATGCAGACAACAATAAACACTGTACCATCCACTGGCAGATATTATCAAGTGCCATATGTGGTTCGTTCCAATCAATCACACTCAGTGTCGCATACGACTTGTTTACCACTTCCCTGTCACTGAGAATGTTCTAGAACCGTACTGTGTCTGGGTATAATATTCTAGATTTTGTTTAGAAACTGGTTGAATAGGTAATAGAACACTGTATGAGGCAATAGAAGGTAATGGAACATTCTAGAAATTTGTAGTAAGTTCCAGACTCATTATGTATGCTGATGTAATGGTCTATTTATAGATAGTGTGGGTATATATAGGGGAGTTGTTCAGCACTGAGTTCAGATCGGAGATCTCGTTGAATTGTATTGGAGTTTATGTATCTAGTTATTGGAGTAGTGGAGTTTTACCGCGTTATTGTACTTGATGTTTGCAGAGTATAATAATACCAGTACCAGTTGAAACCTCATCTGTTGGCTCCGTGTTCGTGTTTTATCATCGCCGCCAGGGAAGTCTTTCTGTTACTGTTGCCATGTTGGTATTTGAACCATCACACCTGTACTACACCAATTAAGGTAATATTACGTTGCATGTGACACTCAGTTAGACTATATATTAATTAATAATTAAACTAGTTAATTCTATATTGCTCCATTGCTACTCACCACATGCCTCGTTGTGTTCTGAACACGGTCCTGTAAAAAAATACAATCAGTCACACAATTTCGTTATTACGGGATACTATAATGACAATTATATTACAATAAGCAACAACACTGTAACCCCCCCCCCCCCCAACCTCCTAAATCGCATTATAGCTACACATGGCGAAAACAATCTAGGAAACATCATGGTTTGCTAGAAATGACGCTGGGCCACAACATGGAAATGTTATTGTAAAGAATGAGTACTCACTGCATTTGTTTTCATAGCATTCTCCACTTCCGGTTTCACACAGTGTACATGGGCTGCCGGTTGCATATGGTCTCTCGCCTATGAGGTTACCTCTGTATGAGTAAGTTAAAAACAATGTCAGCTGGAAAATGTATACATTAAACTTAATCATTGACTTTGGTTACTGTTTAACTACTCGTTTAACTGCTGTGTTACAGCTATGTCACCACCATGTTCTTGCACTATTATACACAGTTTTTAGATATAGCCTAATGATTTTTGTGTGCTAACACAAGAAGCAAACATGCTAATCAGGGGGGGGGGGCAAGGGTTATTTTCGTTCAACGTAATTGCAATATTTTTTTGTTCGTACAACGTAAATAGAAAAAAATAAATTCCGTAATTCTGTAATCACAGGCTAGACGTACAACGTAATCAATCAAATATTTTTTTCGTACACTGTAAAAATGTGTAATTTTTCTCGTACGTACAAAAATTCACATCCAAATAAAAAAATCGTAAAGAATAATCCAGGGAAACTACATTTTAGAAACTGTAAAACGACTAGATGACACAATTCACTACAAAATTGAATGTCAAGACGTAAAAGGCCCTCTAACCGAATGAAGAGCATTACGAAGGTAATATGCGCATGCGTCTCTTCACACGGCGCAGCAATGGTGGAGAATTTGAGTCGGAGAGCTCTTCGGACCATTCAATGTTCCATTTGTTAACACTGTAAACTGTAAAAACGTCTTTTTTTTCTTCGTAAATTGTGAAAAGCCCTTTTTATTTCCCGTAAAACCGTACCAGCTACCCCCCTTGCCTCCCCTCTAATCACGATACTACATCCCAGGTGAACCCCGGAGACAATTATGCTACCCACTGTACCACTGTGGCGAATAATTTATAACAGCCGAGAATGTGCAAACTTCATGAGTAATATTACACTTACCCTGGTCCATAGTTACAGGTGAGAATGAATGAGTCAGTAAAGTGACTCTGGTTCACAGCCGGACAATGCGTCAAACCACACCCAACGGCATACGAAGAGGCCCACACCACCTAGTAGTATGGATGGGTTGAAATATTAGCCAAAAAATATATGTAATACACTCTCATTTCGAGGCAGCATTTATTGATAATCGATTAAACATAGATGTTCGTAAGAACATCAAAATGTATGTTGTGATATGAAAGTTTTGGTCACATGATCAGTATGATGTATGCCAGGTACCACACGTGATGCAGAACATATTCTATTTGAGTCACAAGACATTGCTGCATGTACCATTAAACCTACTTTGACTATGTCCTTGTTATTGTTTGTCAGTCACTTGTTTTTCTTTAACTACATATTTGTGTATTGTTCATGTATGTACCTGAGTGTAATGGCCACACACTGACGAACACGTGTTCTCATCATAATTGTAGTAATCAACTTCGTTGTACCAGTCAGTAACTGCTGTGGCGAGGTCAAATGTCGCATCACTAGCGTAGGGTCCCGCCATCCATAGATTCTGACCAACCCAACTGAAACCCGATATATCATCGTGGTTGCCATGGAACCAGTTACAGGTATCTGACCAATCCTGTGCCATGGTTGCCAAGTTGTCATCCCAATCCTGAAAAAAATAAATGAATGGGAGATCAAAACCACTTGCAGATTTTCATATGTATCCATATGTGTCTCATAACCATCATTTATCATCATCGTTTGCATTCTGTGACACTAGCACTCAGAACAGTTGCCTAGCACATATAGTGATATGCTTTGCACTACTGCAGCATTATGGGATGCTACTGCAACTTCATTACTTCAGAAATGTTGACTAAAAATACAGCAAATATACAACAATTACAAACCATAAACATAAAAATCGCGATAAGTTGTGTGCGGACGTTGACAAATAACAATACAAAATACAAAATAACGTGACATACCCTCGATCATCATTGACATTGCCTTCATTGAATGCGGCAAAACTTAGTCAGTTTGGTCTTGCCTTAATTTAATGTGGCCGACCAACAGTCAGCCGGGTCTTGTCGTTATTGAATGTGGTCAAGTAATAGTCAGCCTCGACATGCATTGACTGCATGTGACCGACTGACTGTCTTGATTGTATGTGACACAATAACAGTCAGCCTGCTTTAGCTGTGATTGAATGTTGCCAACTAACATTCAGCATGGTGTTGTCTAGTCTTATCGTGATTAAATGTGGCTAGCTAACAATCAGCCTGGTCATGCCTTGATTGAATGTGGCCAACGAACATTCAGTCTGGCCTTACTGAGATTGAATGTGATAAATTTACAGTCAGGTTGGCCTTGCCATGATTGAATGTGGCCAACTAACATTGAGCCTTGTCTTACTGTGACTTAATTCAGCCTGGTCTTCCATTGATTCAGCCTGGTTGCGCTTTGATTGAATATGGCCAACTGATAGTCAGTCTGGTCTTGCATTGATTGAATGTGGCCAACAATTACGTAATAGTGACTGATTGTAGGCAACTAACAGTTATCCTAGTCTTGTCCAACAAACATTCAGCATGGTTGTTTCTACATTGAATGTGGCCACTTACCAGTCAGTCTTGTCTTACCGTGATTAAATGTGGCCAGCTAACATTAATCTTGCCTTGTCAATATTGAACGTGGCTAACTATCAATCATCCTGATCTGCATTGATTGATGTGAACTTATAGCTTGGCCTTGTCTTGACTAAATGTGACCAACTGACAGTCAGTCTGATCTTAAATTATTGTATGTGGCAAACTAACAGTCAGCCTGGCCTTGTCTTGTATTCAGACAACACCAACGACCCACAACGACGGCATCCAGTGAATGATTCCTATGGAAAGCCGTACGGGACCCTGCTGCGTCGATATAAATTGCATGGTAAAACATATAGCTTCAAAATTATGCTGCTTCTTCAACAAAAGTGCGATTTCCGATGTCTACGTTTACTAATTGTAGTAGTAGCAATCAGTGCAAAACTTATTCACTATCGTCGCTAATTAATTAGCAGTTGTCGCAAAGCGAGTTGTAGTAGTCGCGATTTAACGGGTGATGATTTGTAGAAGTCACTAACCCACTACAGCGTATTTGTCGCTGACGCGGTTCCTTAATTTCTAGATGACGACATTTCATTTTCCAAGTTGACGAAGCAAACAGTTCCCCCAAGTAGACGACGCAACTTGCACTTTTCAAGTTGTCGACGCAAAACGAGTCCCCCAAGTAGACTTTGCATTTTTCATTCCAAGTTGACGCAGACACACTTTTTTCTAGTAGACGACGACGCATATAGCATTCTTACCGGCAACTCGAGTCAACCCAACAAATTTTCAAGTGCGTTGAGTGAATGTGGTCATCTAACAGTGAGCCTGCCTAACTCCGCGAATAATATCAAAATGCCATGTTAACAAATCGGTATTCATCATGCTGTTTGATCAAAAAAACAAAAAGATCGCTTGGATACTTAATGAATGATTCACCAAAGTTGCATTTTTTAAATTACTCGTTCGGAGTGCTCAAAAATTTCAGAAAAAATTACAGTCTCTCAACTCCTTTCTGTAAATTACAAAGCGACCATATGAATCGTTCGTATCTAATAGTAGTGGCAGTATTAAATAAAGCGATTGATTTACTTGTGTTGACTTAGTAACTTCGGTATAATAAGACATCAAACAAACAAGAACTTGTTTACTACTGTTAAGTAACGATAGGTGGAAAACAAAAAATAAAAACATGTTTCACATAATTATTGATTGTATGCTCAGTGCATTGTGAACTTGAATGTCTAAAAACAATTGTGATATGATATGATATGAATTTTATTCAGTACAATGGCCTCAGGCCTATGGTACAATAAATCAAAAATAGAAAAATACATAGTGGGATTCCTTTAAATAATTGTTGAATCAACTAGTCACAACTGGTTAAGTAGATTGACTCTGTGTTTAGAAGTGTAGAATACAAATTTCGCAATTTTAAGTACAGAAAGGTTGTCAAACTGCATTAAACGAGGACATTTTTCGTAAGTCTGATTTGACAGATAAAATATAGGTAAATATTTTTTTTCTATGATTTACATAACGTGGACATACAAGGCAAAAATGGTATTCATCCTCAACCAACCCTAAATTACATAATTTACAGATTCTCATATTCCTCGGTATGTTTAATTTACGATCAGATTCAACCCGAAGGTTGTGGATGATGTTCTAAGCTGACATAGCGCAGGACGTAACTTGTTGTCTTTTATTAAATGCCAATATTTTTCACATCCAAAATGGATCTTAAAATTATCTATTCCCGGGTATTTATACTATAAATTTCATGTCAACAACATGAATGCTATTGTTGTTTGGTTTACAATATTGTGCTAAACAAATAACACGTATTCGCGTTCCGTGGACGTGGCTGCGGGGTGGCAAGATACAGCGTTCGATTGATAAAGTTGCGAGGTGTCGCTAGGCAACGTTCGATTGACGTGGTTGCGAGGGGGGTAGACAGTAGCTACCTTGAGTAAATATTGTTTTTGAGATTACATGTCTGAGAACAATAACAATAAGAAAACTGACTACTACGTTCTACATACGTTTCACTGGTGGTTGCCATTGATAACTTTATGACCAACTTGCATAATTCGTCCCATAACTTTGGTCTCATAACTTACAATAAAGCGATTGAATTGAGCTTATTAATAAATTCACAGTGGTTAGTATATTAATATTTATGATGTGTTTATGGCCTCGGTGATGAAGGCGCTAAAAATTTGAAATATAGTTAGTGAAAAGCAAAGGGTATGCAAGAAAAAGGACAGTTCGTCATGGTCGGTACATTTCAACGACTTCACATTTGCTAGACTTATATAACAACCTGCCTACAACGGTTACTATAATAACTATATGTATGTGTTAAGATCATTTATTTTAGTATGTGGATAAGTAAATGGTAAATGTATTTTTTCTAGATTTAATGACTAGAACAATAATGACCGGATAGCTATAAAAAAGGTATCAGAGTGGGACAAAAAGTTTAACCAATTGGTTTAAAACTGTATGCGGTTAATCAAATTGGAAATCGAATGCGGTGCATTTGTCTACACTTTCGCGCTAAATTTAATAATATTTCATTGGCAATATATATGCACGTCTTGTCTGTGTACTAGTATAGCATGGGGAAACTCTTGCTTGAGCTACTCTACGCAAATACAATACAATCATAATTAAAGTTACGTGTTTTGTCCGGCACGTTACGCGATTTAAATTCAATAATAATTTGCAAGGTAATATATATATATAGATATGTATTGATAGGCTAGATTCTCCTGAATCTTCTCTAACGAGTGTTATCTTAAAATATGTCCCAAGAAATATAATATTGGTTTATATTTAGTGTGTATATTCATTATATTTCTTGTGTGCAAGTAAATGTCGTTAACTTGGTGTTAATTTACGTTGTTCAGAAAGGGTGCAACTGAAACCTTGTTTTCAAGGTTGGTTACCCAACTTTCACCGAAGTATCCCTCCCGAGTCAGGGGCGTTTACTTATAAAGATCAACGCTGTTTTCTTATTAAATGTAATGAACATTTTACCAAAAATTTGACATTAGCTCCTGGCGGATCCAAAGTACCTCGCAGACTATTATGTGCGTCGAGGAGTGTGCTCATTTGCGAAGAGTCCAGTGATGTCGCACGTTTTTGACGTGGAAAATGGACACCGCCGAAATCTTCCACTCTGAACGATAAGTTCGATTTTGTCGTTCTTATCGGTTGGCTGCAGATTACATGGGTTCCCGCCAGTAGTACAAACAGTAGAAGAACCATCCCCATATTATAGCTTAGTAGCTGATGTATATGACAGTATGAGAGGCAATACCCGGCCTTTAAAACTTTTATTTTCACTTACTTAGGCGAGGACGAATCCAATCCGTTCAGTGGTACATCATTGCCTTTCAGAAAAAAACACCGATTCTAATACTGATTAACAGCCTTTGGATTAACGATTTATGGTTTTAAACAAATTAAAGTTTATAGATAATATAATTTATGCTTAAATATAAAATATGCTAACCCCCATGATCACAACATCCCCACATAGAATGGTATGGCCCAAATACGTCAAACAAAAGTGGTGGTTCTTTTCGGATCCACTTTGTATATCTTTTTTCGGCTTTGTAAACTACCGTTCCAATCTCTATATGCGGGGATTATGGTGTGATTAATGTTCCCATTCAATAGAATGATAAAATAATAAAAAAAGAAAGAATCCTTCAACTATATTTTCTGGCCCACGACACGGCATAGTACATTGCATTGTATGCAAGCGAACCGAGTACAATACAATGAGTGCAACACGTTTTGTCTCATTTCAAATGTAATAGAATAATCGTTATGTGTTTGCTGACTTTTCTCAAAGTACTTCGTGGATATACTTGTTTGTTATGGCCAGAATTTCCACTATTTTATTAATTTTCTATATAACATGATAATAACGCCCATCGATCGAATTGTCGCGCATTGCAGCTCTTAACTCGCACCTACCTGCCTGAAATGCTCAGGCTGTCTTTCCAGGGGACTGTCGCTAATTGTGTTCGCCTAATTAGGGGAGGGGGCTGTCGAAATCGTGAAAAAATTATACACTGTTACGATTGGGCAAAGACCTATATGTATTCAAGCTGACAGCGCTGTCTGTTAAGTTGTTTTCATTTGCAAACCGACGTCCAATTACTGCCATATATGGTTACGATCCCCTCTCTAATAGTGGTTGTTGATTTCTACAGTTACTCGTACGGTGTTTTCATAGTAACATTGTTTCGTGGGCATTATATTATATAGAGATGTATTCAAACGACACATATACAGACTGCGTTAGGAGACTTTGTTGTCACGATTGACACTGGTTAAGAAGGATTAAAATGATCTAATTAATGAGTAGACATGTTTTTATTCTATGCGTGGTGTACGTCAATCGTGATGATCGCATCTCTGAATGAATTGCCACAACTGTATTTTTCAAAAAAGAAGGCCAATCAGTATTACAATAAGCGCCAATAATTGTCTTCTATATAAAACATTTCACATACGTTTTGTAACTATTGTTGGGCGTCTAGACTTGTAATGTTGTTTTCAATATGATCCCGGCATGCATCATTGTATTCAGCAAACAGGTGACATGTTTGACCGATCATCGACATTTCGTTGATAGGTACTTTACAGGCATGATTTACTGGGCATGAGTTTGTATGCTTGTTGGGATGTAAACAAAATAACAATCGTGAAAATATTTAACCAAATAGTTGATTATGCTAGCTGGTCAGACTGTGTCGGGGGCATCTATTCTAACCCAAACTTGTTTGACATCCCTTCCCCGGTTACGTTAAGTGGTGGTTGTCGGGGCCACCGTGTATTATTTTTACAAGGTTTACGAAATAAATATCTTTATGACAGTGAATTGTGATTAATTTATTGTGGCAGGGGTGCTGTCAAACAACTTGTGCAACCATTGGTCGAGATTTTGATTGACATCAAGGCGTGGCCTATGATGTTGTTGTGATCGGTCCGACGAATAGTTTGAAACTCATTTCGTTAGCGCAAAACCAGACGAGACAAATAACGTCAACAATACATGATTTATTCATAAGTACTATTAGGCAAATACAGACAAAGTCACGATATGAAATCAACGGTGGTGTATATATATCCCGTGGAATTGACTAAATTCTAATCGACGGTGGTATATATATCCCGTGGAAAAGTGTCACACGCAACGTAATATTACCGTAATTGGTATAGTACAGGTGTGATGGTTCAAATACCAAAATGGCAACAATAACAGAAAGACTTCCCTGGCGGCGATGATAAAATACGAACACGGAGCCAACAGATGAGGTTTCAACTGGTATTATTATACTCTGCAAACATCAAGTACAATAACGCGGTAAAACTCCACTACTCCGATCTGAACTCAGTGCTGAACAACTCCCCTATGGATACCCCCACTGTCTATAAATAGACCATTACATCAGCATACATAATGAGTCTGGAACTTACTACAAATGTCTAGAATGTTCCATTACCTTCTATTGCCTCCTACAGTGTTCTATTACCTATTCAACCAGTTCCTAAAAAAAATCTAGAATATTCCACCCAGACACAGTACGGTTCTAGAACGATCTCAGTGACACGGAAGTGGTAAATAAGTCGTATGCGACATGCCTCCCCTCTCAAGAATATTATAACATATAATATTACATGACTAGCAACGACGTCAATAATAAGAATACGATAACAATTTCAAATAAAACAACAATACAATATCAAATCGAACTGAATAAAACTCTGAGTACATAAATTCGAAAATCACATACAGTAGAATATAATAAAATATGAAATATAATCATAAACGAATAACATTCTACTATACTGTTCAAAAGTTCCTCAGTCCATCAATCTACTCGGGTAGTCCGCTACCACACTGTCCCGTCCAGGAATATCCTCAACACGATAATTATATCCTTGCAGAGTCATCGCCCATCTCATCACTCGGTCATTTGCAAACTTGGCTTTATCCAGGTAAGACAATGAATGGTTTATGATCCGTCTGCAAAATGAACTCCACACCGGCTAAATATAGACGAAATTTATTCACGCCCCATACAATGGCTAAACGTTCTCTTTCTACAGTTGAATATTTCTTTTCTGCATCGGATAACATCTTACTTGCATACGCAACTGGATGAAGCTTCTCACCATGATTCTGCATAAGTACTGCTCCAATCCCTACCTGAGACGCGTCCGTCCGCAACACAAATGGTTTCTGTGGGTCTGGCAACTTAAAAATTGGTTTGCCCAATAAGTATTCCCGCAAAGTGTTATATGCTTTCTCCTGGGCCTCTCCCCAGGATCTTCATTGGGCCTCTAACCGTTCGACCATATAACAGCTCAAATGGGGAAAAACCAGTTGACTCCTGTGGTGCCTCTCTATATGCGAAGAGTAAAGCACCAATATACCGATGCCATTGCCTTGGTTGTTCATGGCACAACCGCTTTAACATTTTCTTCAAAGTGCCATTAAACTTTTCCACCAGTCCATTACAAATGGGGTGATAGGGCGTAGACGTCAGTCTCTTAATGCGGAGCAATCTTGATACTTTTTGCACGCGTGAATGGCATATCAATTAAAGGCATCTTACCTAATGGGGCCTTCACAGCTGATCCCTTTGAAACAGTCTTCTGGCACACATCACACGACCTACAAAAACTGGTAACATCTTGATGTAGCCCAGGCCAATAAAAGCTAGTCACACCAAATATTGAATCATGGGCAATCTCCATAACACGAGTCCTCAACAGTTTCGGCACAACCACTTGACGTACCGTCTTGCCTCCTGGAACTGAACGATCCCAATATACGATATAGCAAGCCTCCATATACCTGGAACTCAGTTGTATGGTGCCCTCTCACTTCTGGTTCTCTCTTATTATAATACTTCTTCAACGATGTGTCTGCTTGCTGCATCTCGACTAATTTGTCTTTTATTACATGTGCTCCAGTCTTTACATCACACACTTTGAGCAGCTTCACCTTACCAGATTTCATCGCTTGCGCTCTGGTTGTTACTGCTCCACTCACATTCCACACTGGATCCGGGTCATCTGGTGGTCTTGCTCCGGGCACATCCCAA